ATATTTGTTGCATTAATAAAGAATATAAACTAAATTTACGTAACCGTTGAATATAAATGTAACTTAATAGGGAACTAGGTATTACAAGAAAAATTATGATTACATTACGAATGCGTTCGTATCATTCGTATTCCTACAGAAAAGTCTACCTCGAGATTTGTAGAATGATGAATCCAATACCGCGCAGCTTTTTCAGAACAATAGAAGGAGAAAGGATGGCGTATAAATCGATGAAAGTTTTAATCCCGAAAATATTTCGCGATGTTGACGTTTCATTAAAAAATTTTGATTTTTCCATCGATGTTGTCCTGTCAAATTGAAATCTGGTCACAGAATTTATTTAGCCTTCGAAAGTCTAAAAAAAATTTCATTAAATTGGAAAAATCCATATTCCTGCATTTTATTTGTTAATATATACTTTAGTATTGTTAATATATGCCAATATATGCTTTAGTATTGTTATTGCAGTTGATTCTTTAATTTACTGAATAATTGAAATTAACATCTTTTTTTTATAAACGAACGATATTTAATGAAATAAAAAAATATCGGTTATTTGTTGAGAGACGAAATTATTAATATATAATGACTTAAATCGTTGCGAAGAACTTTCTGCGAACATTATTGAAAAATGAAAGCCGAGCGACGCTAACATGCTACGAGAGAATAAATTATACTCAAAATAGTGTCCTTGATTTGTTAATTTGTTAATTTATCTTCTCAATTTGTTAATTTAACCCTTCTTAATTTGTTAATCACAGAATTTATACAATGCGAAATACATAATTAATGCTGGCATACGATATCACGATATAATGTCAAACTTGCAACGTTTCGTGTTGCAACAATTTTCGTAAGTGTTACGTAAATAGTGGCACGTTTTGCTAGCCATTGTCTTTGAAACCGACTGGCAAAAAATTGTATCGCGACAGTCATTAAAGCGAACTTACAGAACTGCTGCATAAATGTCACGAAAGGGAGGAATCTTTTGTCTGTTCCTTTCAGCGCCGGTAGAACCAGATTTATTCGAGCACTTGAGACCGAAGAACTAGTTCTTGACATGATATCAAAAGATCCGGAAACATGTACTAAAATTACTGTAGCAGCCTGCGTTCTCGCTTCAAAGCACGCGGAGTGTTACACGGAAAAAGCTGCTTTAGCTGCAAATTCTTGTTATAAATAGATGTTGCATCCAACGCTGTGCCGTGAACGAAAGCTTAAACAAAATTATCATCGTACGCGCTAATTCGTAACTGTCGACGGATGGATTAAGCCATCCAAAACATCATTTCTGTTGTCCGTTTACATCGTCGCTGTACATTTGATACGCGCGCAAGTTTCGATGCCGAATAAATTATTTTCGCGCCGTGCAATTAAATGTGACCATCGCGAAAAATTTTGCAAGAATTAAGAGTAGTGTAAGAGGCAATCCATGAAAAAAATCGCGCGGCCAACTATTCTACATGAATAATGGAACGCCGACTCATTTCAAATGCACCGCTGGAAACTACTTCAGCAAAAATTATCGTAGCTGTTGGATTGTTAAAGGGAGATAAATTACATCGTTTGTGTGTATATGAACTTGTCCTGATATTCTTGCTTTCAAAGCGTATAAAGTAGGTTTCTCTCTCTCTCTCTCTCTCTCTCTCTCTCTCTCTCTCTCTCTCTCTCTCTCTCTC